TAACATTATTGAGTGGAAGTATTTTAAGATAACTTTTCACTTCAGAAATTCATTATTCATTTTAATTAGGATTGCAAAAAGGCTTTTCGTTAAATGTATATGCTAAGTTGACCACCCCTATCTTGGCGCAAGTCAATCGTCCTCTTTGCATTTAAGAATAAACGTTTGAAAAATCCCGGTAAATGATACACGATACATGTTGACATATGAAAGTGGGGAAACTCTTATCTGTGATTTACGAGTTTGTGCCACCGAAGTATTGAATGCTAACAAATAGGCACGTTTTATCTTCCAGACGTTTTTAGAAACCACGCTTTTGGCAGTGATCTTTTGGGCGAAGATCTGCCACCGCCATACAGTCAGACTCTCTCGTCGCCAGATGTCAGCACCGACCAATTTGGTCCTCCAACACCAAGAGAACCACATGATCAACGCTTGCCAACTTATGAAGAGGCACTTCGAGCAAGCAATAGTCACGATCCAAAATTAGAGTTTACTAGTGGCAATAATAGCGATGTATAAACTGTATTTTACGCATGGGCGTAACTAGGCATACGCACGGATGCACTGTGCGTACAATTTCTTTTGCCAACCATGATATTATTTTATATAAATTTAGTGTATTTTTCACGGAATATAAAAGAAAATCCTCTGCTTATTAAAGTCACCTGTATGTACAAATCCTCTGTATCAATTGTATAGGCACTATTGTTTGACACGGACTTGACCCAGCTTACCCCTCCAAACTAACAGGGTGACATGGGCAACTTTTACAAACAAATAATTAAACTTAGATGCTCTGTCGTGTCGTACAATTGGTTGTTTTTGGGAGCCATGCATCCACATTTAAGGCGAATGAAACCGTATGTTAGTTCAACTCAGAGTTGGATCCAGGATTATTCGAAGGGGGTTCCACATATGCGAAGCTAGCCTCCTTTTAAATAAATAGGCCTATATCGTTCTGGGTAATAAGAATATTGAAACTTTTTTAATTGCTAGAATATTTCTGACTAAATGATGATTTTATTATTAATGAAAATTAAGCTGCGATGTGTGGTACATATGCTGTAATTACGCTGTCCTTCATCTCTTGCGTTAGTCTACATTTTGCTGGGAATTTTTAAAGGTCAATTTTTAAAGGTCTGGTTACGCCCCTGTTACGGTTATGTAGAATCTGCGTTCAAGAAAATTGAACGGACTCATTTAAAAAAGTTTGAGAATATCACAGAAATTATGTACTTTTTGTGACTGGTTGCGTATAACTTTTTCTTTAATATACATATTTTACATATACTATAATAGGCCTATAGAACGTTAACGTTATTGGACCTAAGATTGCTGTCTCAAAGAGATAAGAGCTTTCAGTTTGCAGGGACACAAATAGGCCCTACTGTATAATTATATTATCTACACAGATCTACGTTTTAATAATGGTAGGGCCTACCAATATAACTGTCTTTAAAAAAGAAACATTAATTTGCTTTGTAGTTTTATCATGAAGATGTCATTCAGACACAAAACCTGCATTAATAAAAAGAAGGAATAATGAAAAGTTCCACAGATTCCTTGCTGTTGATAAAAAATGCTTCCTTTGCTCAAGTAGGCCTACCTCTCTTAAATTTCCCAAATGAAGAAACTCGCCATCTTGAAGTTTTGTATGATAATGATATAAATTTGCCTTCCTTGTGGACAAAGTTCAAGATGTTTCCTCATGCTTTACTTTGTTTTTTTTTCTATTTTACTTTACAAGCAAAATGTTGATCACACTGTTATGATTTTCTAAAAAGGTAGTACTGTGTAACATTGATCTTAGTTCTATAGTAGTCCATCAACAAACAGCAATGCTATAGTTGTGCCAAAAAAGAGGATTAAATCAAGTGTGATAGGTGAGATATATATTTGATTGGTTCCCTAGTTTAGATTGCCCTGTTTTTCAAAAGAGAAGCATATAGTCATACACATAAATCCAAAATCATATCAACAAAATAAAATAAAATAAGTGTAATAAACTCTTAATTTTATGGGTCAGTAAATATTTGTATATATAATGATCTCCATGAGGACTGTGCGTACGGAATGTTGGAAATTTGGATCCTTGGAACCAATCGGCTAAACCAGAGCACGCTTCTTTGAGGACGCTGTTACAAATCTTGCATCAAAATGATCCGAATGCAGCCTAAAGTGCCCGGGATGAGCGTCCCTGACCAGAAGCAGCTTGAAAAAATGGCTAGGTCGGCAGTGTTACAAACATTTGCGTGTTTTGTTGGAGCAGTTGTTGTTATACGAGCACGTAAGTAAAAGTGAAGCCCCTTACTCGACTCAGTTGAGCTACTTAGTCCCTTCGTTTTTCGTTTTTGCGGGTAGGGTTTGATGTGTTGCTCCCATGCTAACTTTCTTAGGATTGTTTTATCCTGGTTCGTCAGTTCATACGTCTTAAAATCACCCTTATCTGTCTAATCTATACAGGCGGTTTCTGATGAGTGATGACACTTTCAGTGGATATTGTACAAACTGGATTAATCAGCACATCTTGGTATCTCTATTGTATTGTGTTGTATTGTAGTCATAACAGTACACAGAGATCTACACTTGCACCAGTAAAGCCAGATGATAACCCCTGCTTCTCTTATTTACCTCTGAACTTGTTAAATTAATGTACTGAGAATGACTGTCTATAGCTAGACTTAATCATTTGTTCATTTTTAGGCCTAAGAAGATGACATTCACCTTTAAAACATTGCCTTCTTTTTGTTTCAGTGCCAACTGTGATTGACAAGCTATCATGAGATAAAGAGGATGTTTTATGAAAGACTGAATAATGCAGGAAAGACAAAGGTTACAGTTGGTGCACAGTGTACATAAACAATGTATTTAAAAGGAGAAAAGAATGGTACTTATTGGATGTCCAGTTTACCCATTGAAGAAATGGATTATGAATGTTGTTTCAAAGGAAAAGGCTGTTTTTTTTTGTCTAATTGTGAATTTCACGTCTTTATAATGTAGATAACAGAAAGTGGTGACTGGAACATTGTATAAGCAACCCATTGGAACAGTTTTTATTGTGTATTCCTGGAATTTGTGAGGACTGATGAAGTGTAACCATTTCAACTATGGACAAATATGAATGATTGTGTGCTGTATTTCAGCTGCTAGCCAGAGGACTGCAGAAGAATTATGAAAAGCTGTAGAAATTAGTAGTCAAAGTCATTTATGTACTTTTTGTTTGTAGTTTTATTAAAACTAGCTTGTGAAGTCTGTTGAAAATTGTCATTTTTACTTTCAAGGTAAACAAAACATTCTCACTTGGGAAAACAAACCACTTTATTCATAAACATTACAATGTTTACACCCCTACCAAGCAAAACGATTGTCTACTTAATAGTCCACTTCAGTTATGACACATCCATTACAATTGTTTTTCAAATTTTATAAGAAAATACCCGTCAGTAGACAATGCCCACAGTTCATGTAGCAATTCATCGCCAAATAACATTAATATTGACACATACAATGCCTTGTTTCACAGTATATACCTTAACTTTTTACAAAGCAGTTCACGCACAATTGGTTACTTTGTAGCCATATTAAGCACCAGTATTAAAGCCTTACTTTAACAGCTTAATGGTTGCATTGTTACCTCATTACTGTATTTGACTTTTAAATGTACTGTCCTTTTATAAACTCTTAAAGGATAAAAAGTTGTGGTTGTATATTTTGTTTAATAAATTTGGGCAATAAATTGGATTTATATTTGTCACCAAGGTAAGCAGATGTGGCATGACAAATGATTGATTTTTCCAACTATTGAACTGTACAACGTTGGACATTACCAAGACATGCAGGTTCACATATATCAACTTGCATCACAAAACCTTTCCTCCTTATATTACATATAACTTCCAATCTTGCCACGTGAGACTTTAGCTTTCAAAAGATGTAAAAATCCCTCTTATTTTTCCAATATATAATACTAGCCTAGAAGGAATGCAAGTTTTGATATGTTGAGTTTTCAAATTGAAGTAATCATCCATAAAGCTATGTACTTCTTAAAGGAAATATGACCACCATGTGGAAAAATAAGTAATTCTGTGATTGCTTTGTTTAGGTATAGCTAATAGTATATGAGTACAATACCCAAATCCTTCCAAAACATTGATTTAACCAGAATGCAATGTATTGAAAAAATTTTGCCAGTGGCTTCAAAATTGTTCAGTGCTAACAGACTTCTATTNTAAAGGAAATATGACCACCATGTGGAAAAATAAGTAATTCTGTGATCGCTTTGTTTAGGTATAGCTAATAGTATATGAGTACAATACCCAAATCCTTCCAAAACATTGATTTAACCAGAATGCAATGTATTGAAAAAATTTTGCCAGTGGCTTCAAAATTGTTCAGTGCTAACCGACTTCTATCTGAAAAGAAAAGATTTGTCAGATATTTATACATGCATCAGAGATGGTATGACGGCTCCTCTGCAGCATTATTTCCTATTAATGCTTTAAAAAGTTTTAAAGTTACATTTTGTACATCCTCAAAAACAGCAACTTCTGAGGGAGATGGTTTCCTTTTTTTAAGCAATTTCCATTCCCATCCCTGACACATTCAAGATGGAAGGTAAAATTGAGGCCTTATCGAAGCACTAATTAGAAAAACACCCTTACTGATCTTGTTAATGAGGGTCAGTACATTAAATACAGTTAATTTCTTATGAATTATGGACATATTACTGTTAAATATGTATGATACGGGAACAAGCGATGCCGCAATATGAAACTCTGTATAAATTATGTACAAAATTGATACATCTCAATAATTCTGCAAACTCCATCTGTCTTCTGTTACAAAATTTCGGATATATAACCACATAAAGGATCATGTAAAATGTGAACAGGCCTTGGCAGCAAATGGTATCAACCCAAAATTTGCTGAAAACTAACAAACAAGAGCAATAAACCAAATATGTTATCAAATTTGAACCCCATTTTACTGTCCTGCAGCTAGATTATAAAATAAGTTTTTCAGCAGAACAACCCACATTAAGAAATAATTCAAATCAACTGCATTCCAATGGTTTCCAACATGCTTCTACCCATTGCAGACTTTAAAATTCTACTAGGTCATTCAAATGCAATATGGACAAATTTAAAATGATTTCATTAACCACTGAATAACATTGTGTCTTTTTTCACTGACCCCGCTTGTGGCCCTTTATCATGTTTACTGAAATTTTTTTACGCAAGTCTTAGTGCTAATAACACAAGTGCAAACAATTTCAAACAAAGCTTCTCTTAACTAATAATGAGTGCTTTAAAAAAAACTGGACTGAATCCAAAGTGAAAAAGATTTTATGATAATGGTGAAAATAAAGTAAATGTGTATATATATGTATATGAAAGTAGGGATTAACTGATCAGCTGCCGTAGGAAAAAAATATATTCCAATTCCCACAAATTTCTGACAGATATTCAAAAATACATTCTAATATCATTATTGGTCATACTATATCCAAGAATAAATTTAATTGTTAAATTCAAGGAATTATTTATTAACTAATTGATGCTGTGAATGTTTTGTCAAAAAGGACAGGCGAGAAGAATAAATATGGTGGACGGTAGCCGAATAGAGCACCAAATTGAGACGCAAGTATTACGAATTGTAGACACTTCAAATGGGATACATTTCAGCCAGTTTGATAAATTAGGAACTGATCTTTGACATAGAACCTTGTGTTTGTTTTTATATAGAATTGGACTTCTTTTACATAGGAATTTGTGTTCAATTATGTAGCCTCCTCAATACTTAAAGACCAACTTGTAAAAAAAACACTTAACCTGAATTTGTATTTAGGAATGACTCTGATTTTATGCACAGAACGGGTCTGACATTCAATCAACTTTCTACAACATTCTAAATACATGTTAGTATAAATATAAAGTGCTCAAAAGTACTCAGTACTTGGATTCTGGTGCAAATATAGATAAGGTGTCATGGCGTCTACCCCTGGACCAGACTTAGTCACTAAACCTTTTCCTTTTTAATGTGATGTTAGTAACAATGCTCAATGCAGTCTCTATCTGCCACTCCAATTCTATCCTACTGAATCATATATACACAATGTGAAGGAACTCCAGTTTTTATTTATTGTTATTTTTTTTGGCATTACGACTCTTTCTGATCATTGCCAATAGAGTGCGCCGCTGTACTATGAAACGCTTTTCTCAGCATCACCAGCACAGCTGTCCAGTTTTTCAAAAGTGCCGTTCACCATGGCCGCTTCCTTCATGGGTAAATAACTTGACCACTCGTTTGTGTCTCCATCCAAGTACTCGATGGAGTCCAGAAAAGTGCTCCCGCTGAATCCCCCGACGGCGTACAGCTTGTTATCGCACACAGCCACGCCAACATTGGCCCGGCAGACGTTCATGGGGGGTCCAAAAGCCCAGGAGTTGGTCGCTGGATCAAAAACCTCCATTGTAGCCAGGGAGGGGGAGCAGCCGTCACTGCCCCCTACCACGCAGAGCTTACCTGGAAAAACCCACAAATGTGAAATTAGACATCAAATTTCAAAGGTTACCTAAAGATAAGTGACTGTGCAATTTACCAGGAGAAATGGAAACAATATTGAAATACAGATGATATGCATCTAAATGTATAACACCGAAAGTGTAAAATTATAGACGAGTTATGTAATAAATATGGAAATTATGGGGCATCTGAGTAGTGAAAGCATTACAAGTACTGAAGTTCAGGAATTGTTAAAATATCTTATAGATATATAAGGACTGAAAGGACAGGAGAATAATATATTACCTAACAGATGTCATTTTTTTAAAGTTTTCATATCTCCAAAAGTAAAAAAAATATGATTACATCAGTTGCCAGCATTTTGTCTTTATATATATATATATATATTATCAGTATAATTAGGGTTGGTGACATGTACGTTCAGGTAACACCTCAACTTACCATTGAAGACAGTGGTTCCAGCACCTCTTCTGGGCATGCTCAGTGGCGCCACCATTGTCCACTTGTTCTCTTCAGGAGAGTACACCTCCACGCTATTCAGGCAGTGCCAGGAATCGCAGCCTCCAACAGCATACAGTTTACCATTCATGGCACAGACGGCTGCCTGGGAACGTCCTAATTGGGAAAGAAATAGCAATATAAGACAAAGGCAGGGGAAAGTTTCACAATTTCTGTATCAGAGTACATTTGATTTCCACAAGACTCTAAGAATATCTCTATTGGGAAATAAATAGAAATATAAGACAATGACATAGGTAAGTTTCATCACCAATTTCTATATCTTAGAACATTGGATTTACAAAAGATATTCCTTTTAAATAAGACTTATTTTCCATATTATATCAGTCACCATTTTATAATTCATAAAATATATCAATTATAACTAACTTCAGCTGCTTTGTTACCATCCTTTTGATTAATATGAGTCTTTTCTGTCATATTTAAGGTTTTATATTTTTGATTGAACTTACAAAGTAGAGAGCAAAATACTCACCAACATTGAGTTTCGCAATAGTTGACCACTTGTTGGTCTCTGGATCGAAAACCTCACATGATTTGACCCCCTGCAGCCCACTCCATCCACCAATCACATACAGCTTGTCATTCAGCACGGCAACCCCTGCAATACCACACACAATGTCACGGGGCCATCAAATCAAAAGTGTTTTACTATTAATATATTAAAGCCTGAAATGTATTGTCTGTTCATTATTCTAGGTGTGGACTGAAAAAACAGATGGGTATTTTGCCCATAAAAATAAGACCATGCTACAACTTCCAAGTAACAGACATTTGTACATTCTGGACTTAACAAATAAAGACTTAAAAAAAAAAAAATAATAATAGTAATCTCACCTGCACTCGATTTGCATTTCAACATATCAGCAACGGGTGTCCATTTCTCACTCTCGGGATCATAGCACTCGGCTGACTTCAGCTCAGTGTGTCCATTGGATCCCCCACAGGCGTAGAGACGGCCCTGGATCTGGGAGACGTCAAAGCGCCCCCTAGGGGTCCCCATGGATGGCAAGGCAGTCCAGGAGTTGGTGGACATGTCGTACATTTCTGCTGTCCTCAAACACTCGCCACGATCATAGCCACCTGGGATTCAAAAATGAGAAGAAAATTTATACTGACCGTGGAAACTTCCCATTGAAACATATGTAATTGTAGTCTCAGAGCCTATTGGTTTGAGGTAGTGTGTCAAAGGTAAATCATCTTGAATGGGGAAAGCTATGCTGATTGATTGAAAACAACAATTCTTCAATATATTCAATATAGTCAAAGCTTCTATGTATCTTCTAGTACATAAATTAAGCTAGGCTGCATTTGATTTTGGCCTTTAACAAGAACTAATTATCACATCAATGCTCTGATATTTCTTCACTTGCCAACCCAATTTAGCAAAGCTTTTTGTTACCTTGAAATATTTCTATTTTAGTAGTTAATTTCTACATGTGCTCACCGAGGGCGATAATCTTCCCATCCAAAACAGCAGTGCCCACTCCACAGCGCGGGGAGCTCATAGGAGCCAGCATCGTAAGGGACTTGGAATTCTCAAAGATTGAGCCCTTGGGTGAATGCGTGGGAGACACCTCTCCATTGGTGGCGACGGGAGTGACATTGTCGCGAGACAGCAGGTGCAGGGACATGCTGACAACAGTGCTGTCCAGAATTGCAATACACATGATACTTTGCTCTGGAATTAAAATAAGTCAACAATGAAAAATTATATTTTCCAGATAAATATAAAGGAAGGGGTATTGTAGATTTTATTGCAGATTTTTCTCTTTGTAATATCCATTTTATAATCTATACCATTCCACATTTCTATACAGATATTTAATCACTCCAAAAAAGAAATTGTCATAGGATTTAGTTTACAACTAGTAAAGGATTTATAATTATGCATTGATTTACTGCCTATGACTAAATGGAACAAAATACTTAAATCATTAGTAATACATTTTTAACAATCAATTCCATTTCAAAGCAAATTTTGTGTGTTCGAAACAGTATCAATTATTTTCCTACCTCCATTCTTCAAAGAGGCAATCACCTTCCATTCATCGGCAATCAACTGGGGACTAAAGCGCCCTCCAGAATGTTTGCGTGATTTCATTGGGTAAGTAGTGTTGGTGTTCTCACTGGGCAGAATACGGCTGAAACTGTTCTTTGGTGACCTCTGAAAATATAGGATATCCATATGATATTAAACTTAAACCATGTGTTATGCTAACAGCTAGTTCACTTTTTACCTATTACCATTTTTTTCTAAATTACTGATTTCAAGAACATGAAGATAATTTTTTGTCAGAACTTTCCGAAATGAATGCAGTAAGAATGGGGATCATCTGAGTTGATATTAACAATAACAGGGTGATTTTTTAAACTGTAAGTGCCAGTAATGTCTTCTTAGAAACCAAAACAAGTGATCCCTAAAATTTGGTGAACTGATACTGTTGTGCAACAGATTCTTATTTGACAGAACTTGAGAGGAGACAAACCAGAAAATATCCATGGATAAATTGTGTCAACTCTTTACAGTGCTACATTGCACTGGCTAGTCTGACCCAAGCATCATCTTTTTAAGATATATCATCAGCAATTTGTAAATCAATCAAATGCCTCCTTACGTGTCTCTTCTTTGCCAGCTTCTTGTAATCCTGGATAATCTCAGCATTGTTCAGGGAGTAGTCATCCAGGTCTTTGGCATCATGAAGGGTGTTGTCATTGTTCAAGTACAGCATGTTGACCTGAGGATGACAGGAACATGTATAATCTTATATTATTACATATCAGAGATCTATGTATACTAATTGTGGGGGGAAAGTGAAATGTAAGGTGAAGAATAACATTTTTCAGGGTGTTAAACATTGGTACTATAACAAAATTTGGACAAAGACTTGGTTCCCATCCCTAGATCGATCTAAAAGGATCAGTCCGTCTCCACAGGGTCCCTCGTTAAATTGCTTTCAGCCCAAGAGGCTTAGATGTCTCGGACGCCTACTAAAGCTGGTAAGCAAAAGTTAATTACCCCTAACAGCTTCAGCAGGCGTGACAGACATCTTAGTCGCCTAAGTTACTTGCAATCAAGCGAGAATCCCCTTGGAGATAGTTCAATCCAAAGTTAGTACAATAGTCTTTGGGGATGGTCTCAAAGCCATTTTCTCATAAAATACAAATACAGCAATATACCAATAACCCAAATAACTAAACAGACATATAAAATCTTTCTTTAAATATTCCATTAGACAAATATCATTTAAGACAAATTATTAAACTTAATACAGGAAGGTATATCTTCAATATAATTTGCAGCTTTGTAATTATACGAGACCACATACATAATCAGTGACAGCATCCAAATTATTGGTCTGCCCCACGTTGTCCTTCAACCAGTCCAGCACCAACTGGCACAGATGCTTCTCATTACTACTCTGCAGACCATGTTCAGAGGCACCTGCAAATTTAGCCACCAATAACAGATGCTTACTAATTATAAAGAGAACCTAATTCCACCACCTGTCTCTTGTATACAGCAAGTTATAATGATAATTGCTTCACTACAACTGTTAAAATCTTTATTTTGACTACAATATTTCTGTGTCTCAGATAGAGGTTACACTGGTGATTCACACCTATGATATCCACTTGAATTCTAGGAAGGCGGATAAACTCAGGGCATGTCTCCGTAATGGCGGTGATCTCCTGCTGGATGTAGTTATCCACCTTTTGCTTCAAGTTGTCATCACTGATGGCGCAGCAACGGATGCCTGCAAAGAGAAACGAAGAAAAACTTATATTTTATTATCGATATTAATATATATTTTTCAATCCCAACTTCTAGCTTTTTATTGTCATGCTAATTTTTAGGTGGAATCTAGGCTGGAAATAGCTAATTCAAACTTTAATTAATACAAATAGTGTTTTATTTTATTTTAATTATTTATTATTTTTTTGTAAAAATAATGAGTGTCCCATACTGGCTATACATTTAAGGACAGCCTTTAAAATCATTACAAACTGTACACATCCATAATGACTAAAAATGAATGAGTGGTATTCAATGAATGAACGTAGTACATTAGTTATACCACATGGATTATTTAATTTCCATGAATAAATCTACTTTCTGCAATGATTTGAATTCCACATCCTGTCGTGATCTTATTCCGATGCCCTGTGGCAGAAAGTAGCGATCAATACAAGATACTTAGAGATGTGCTTTCACTGGAGAGAATGCAGAAACTAGGGTTTCACACTGGGCTTATGCCTAAGACTGTGTGCGTCACATTGTTAGAAAATGGAGGCTGTTTTAATGATTTCAAGACAAGTCAATTACCATTTATAAAATTGCATTAAATACCTACTAGTACATCATATATGGATCTGCAATTGTAGCGAAGATAAAACTTATTCTTGGGTGATATAGTATTAAATCAATACTACCTGTCAACCCAATTATATCCTAATATATGCATTTAAAAAAATGCTACCTGCACCCATTTGTTACAACACTTGCAAACAAGTTGTTTTGTTACACTTAAAATGCTTATGAAAAGTGACAATCAATGAACAATGTTGGAACAAGCACATCAACCAGAGACCAATTATCACTAGTGATATACCCCAGCACAATGTGCAGCAATACGCGCTTCTCAAAAATTATGCATGATTTGACCCAATTTACGAAAACGAGGCTAAAAAGGCAAACGAATTCTTAGCAACGAAGCTAGAAGGCAGTCCTGTAGAATGCCGGGAGGTAAAGACCACTGTTGTGTGCCGTTGTGCACAAATGACAAACGTTATCATCCAGAGTTATCATTTCACAAGTTTCCAGAAGACCCAGAGCGAAGGAAAATTTGGATAGTGAGAATAAGGAGAGACGAGGGTACGCTGTTTCAGGTTAGTGTTTACAATGTTTTCAAATGCAAATATTGACATAATTCCTCCGATGGCTAGGACATTATAAGCGGTCAAACGACTGCAAGGGTAGTAACGAGTCTGTTTAACTAAGTACGAATTTCGTTCTTAGATATGTCTAGGGGCATATATACTCGATAAATAACTACTTATGACATAATTAGAAGTCTGCGTAAATATTTTGTGCGGCCGTATGTGTTCTCTGTCGTCGTTAGATTTCCACCGTGTTTGGCTTATTTATTAATGGAAATAATTTTATTTATCATCAGATCACCCCAAGTACAAAAGTTTGCTCAAGCCACTTCTTACCTGAGGATTTTAAGTGGTCTCCAGTCAGAAAAGTGTTGAATTCAACTGCCATTCCCTCAATTTTTGCTTGGTCAAAGCAAGCGGGCAGAGCACCACCCAAGGAGAGACCCCCTGTCGCTTCACTTCCTTCCAAAAGACGCAAACAGGATGGGGACACAGAAGGGTAAGCCCTTTTATCCATTTATGTAGTATTGTTTGTTTTCCTTCTTTAATTTTGCAGATTATTAGCATCTTATTTAGTATCTGGTTTGTTTATAAACAGAGCCACAAAAACGTATATGTATCATGTATAGTATAGACAAACATGAATGATTTCATCACAAAAAAATTAGAAAAATTGCATTTATATTGGTGTTAGCATTTTCTTTTATTCATTCCTTTATTTATATTTTTGATGTTAGCATAATAGTGATAGAAGTAGCTAAGCTAAAAATGTTAAAATGTTATATTTAAAAATATTATTATAATTTTGCCTTTAATTTTTAAATAAAATCTATTTTCCTGAGGTTGCTGGATGGTATATATTCATTTATTTTTACCCAATTTTTGTTTTATGCAGGATAGAATATGATGCACCAGTAGAGGATCATTCTGCTGATGATGATACCACACCATCTGAAGAACAAGATGATGAGCTAGTCAAGCGAATCAGAGAGCTGGAAGAGAAAATTTCTGAGCAAAATCAAGAAAAGGCAAGCTTAAAAGAGGAAAATAATAAACTGAAACAGCAGCTATCTTTGGAGACATTTGGGGTTGAACGATTTGGTTCGGATGATACTATTATGTTATTTTACACAGGTTTTATTTGTTCTACGTTTAGATTGTTGTTTGAATTTGTTAAACCAGCAGCAGACAACATGCAGAGTGCATATTATGCAGCCTCAGAAAGAACCAGTTTGAGGGGTCGTCCACGAAATATGCTTTTGATTGATGAACTCTTCATGTTCTTGTGTCGACTAAAAGCTGGGCTCTATGAGCAGGATTTGGCCATCAGATTCAAGTGCCATATAAGCACTGTTAGCCGAAAAATTATTACATGGGCCAACTTGTTGTATTTTGTTTTGGGAAGCATCCCTATTTGGCCATCTAGGGGGCAAGTTGATAACAGTATGCCCCAGGTATTCAAAGATAAATATCCCAAAACAAGGGTTATATTAGATTGCACAGAAATTAAAATACAAACACCTTCATCTCTTGTGTTAAGTAGTAAAACTTACTCAAGTTACAAAAGTCATAGTACATTTAAAGGTCTCATTGGCATTGCCCCAAATGGTGCTATAACCTTCATTTCCTCTTTGTTCACTGGTTGCACCTCTGACACAGAGATCACTAGATTAAGTGGGATAATAGATCTTTTAGAAGAAGGAGACAGTGTAATGGCTGATAAAGGTTTCACAATTGGCAGCCAGCTTAAAGAAAAAAAGGTGTCTCTGAACATTCCACCATTTCGATTCAACTCCCAATTTACCCTTGACCAAATAGCACACACACAGGAAATTGCAAGTTTAAGAATTCATGTTGAGAGGGCAATTAGAAGGACAAAAGAACACCACTTGTTTGATAGTGTGATTCCTATATCTACAGCCGGCAGTATCAATCAGTTATGGACGGTAGCATGTTTGCTTACTTTGTGGAGAGGACCGTTAATTAAAGTTAATGAAATGTAATGTAAATTTCTCTTCAGGTGAAAATTTTCTAAATTTTATTTGATATTCACACAGTACTTACAGTCATACAAAAATATTTATGTTATGTGCAATTCATCACAAATGTTTTCATATGTATAATTTATAGAGTTTTGCTCAATGGATACTTTTCTTTATTATGTATCATTACAATCAGTATTGCTCAATTTTAACTTTAATTTACATATATTATCAATTGCTCAGCTATGTATATCTGTGTCTGTTTAAAAGCTCAAAAAATGAAAGTCCACTGTATTTTTCAAAGTAAATAATTAAAGAAAAACATGTCTAGTTACAGTCATACAAAAATATTTATGTAATATGCAATTCATCACAAATGTTTTCATATGTATAATTTATAGAGTTTTGCTCAATGGATACCTTTCTTTATTATGTATCATACAATCAGTATTGCTCAATTTTAACTTTAATTTACATATATAATCAATTGCTCAGCTATGTATATCTCTGTCTGTTTGAAAGCTCAAAAAAGGAAAGTCCACTGTATTTTCAAAGTAAATAATTAAAGAAAAACATGTCTAGTTTGTCTTTCATCTCCTGCCATTCAACTTGATCAAAATAAATGGTCTCTAGGTGACTGTCATTTTCTGTCCATACAAAAAAATCACACCATTCAAGTCCTGTGCAGGCCAATTGCATAACTACCTGCCTGTAGTAATTGTGACGCTTTTTTAGGAGCAAAATACCTGCCTCATTTTTCTTTAGATAATCCAACTCTAAAACTGATCCAGTTACTGGGCACTTGATTTCCAGAAGCCCAAAGGGAGGTGTTCTGTTGGGGCGGTACACTTTTCTGTCTGGGGATGCTGCCAACCATGAAGCAGTGGGACTAACAACTATCCCACATGGATATAAATTCACATTTTGGTCCAGTTTGTCCACATAAGCCTGGGCAGCAAGGCACTCAGATGCAATCCCATGTTTCATGGCTGAAGTTACTACAGTCCGACCAGACTTCCACCTCTCTGCCAATTTTTCAAAGTCTTTTCTTCTAGTAATTACTTCTCCAGCCTTGGATGCAGTAATACGTTCACGTCGCACATTGTGCCATTTAGGGTCAGTTGACTGTAACCGTGTTTCCTCCTCAATGACAGAAGCTTCCTCCTTAGACACTGCAAGTGTCCCCAACTTGGCTGATTTTTCTTTGTCCATCACTGCTGCATATACATTTACCATGTGATCATTGCAGGGCAAGGAAGGAAAATCTTCAGTATCATATAAATTCAAAATATAGTCAGAATGTTGTTTTTGCTGGTAGCTGATCACACTTCCTTTAATCTTGCTACCATATTTAGTGGGGACAGAGGGAAGAGTAATATCCGGAATTACAGACAGTAAAAGAAAATCTGCATGTTTATCTCTCAGTTTGTCTTTGATATCAACTATACTTGGCAACTTTGTCCTAACTGGATTACTGAGGGTTGACTTTATGGTAGACGTTTCCTTCTTGGGATCAAGTCTGTTGTATCCTCTGAACTCCAAACAACTGACTTCAGCCCCTCTGATTTTCTGACCCCTTGGTTCATGCCAGGTCTGTCTCATTGATGTTTTTACTATATCAGTTGGCACTGCTGATAATTTTAAAGATGAATAATGAGCCAATTGATAAAGAGTTGCTGTTACATGTCCACAAGACTTGCTCAGACCAATTGGACATGTGCACTTGGCAAAAGTGACATCAAGGGGTATATTCTGTAGATAAATTTCCATAGTATGGGGGGATTCACTCTTTTTCATTGACCTGTGACACCCTGCAGTTATTCTGCATCCTTCGGTGGTGGAAAAGACTGAAAGTGGGAAAAAACTGACATTGTAATTGTTCAAAAACTAATCTTAAATATCGTGGCAGTATGTAGTTGGCAGATAATATGCTGAGGTATTACTTATAAGTGTACCAAACTTCGGGGAAAATACGCTTACTAGTAGGTTTACGTGTGTGAAGATGTATATGATACACAAATATAACAGTTAAATGAAAATAGGAACTCATTCCTGCCTTCTCTCGATTAAAAAACATTTTAACTTGGTTGGAAAATGCTCTAAAATAACGCTTACATGACCATTTATAAGTCAGTATCAAACGTCCGACATGGCGTGCATAAGTAGCACTATCAATCCGAATGTGCAACAAAAGTCACACGATCGGGGAAAAAAGAATGAAAAATACCCGAACAATGTACTATCCAATGAGTAAAAAAGGGGTACAAAGAGGGCAGTAAAAAAAACGAGACAATATAACGAAGAATTTTCAGCAGATCGATCTAGTGTTTAACTACAGACAAGTTCGAATTCAGTGAACTGATAAACTTTTACAAGCAAGCTGAAAAAGATTACTCACGTTTGATGTTGTGCACGTACTGTTCGCTGAAATATTTGAACCCTTTGTTCAAATTCTTCTCTCCCAAGCTAGCAACATGTCGACGAACATATGACTCTACAAATCCAAAGCTTATTTCTGGCATAACAGATAAATCCCGTGTAGAGCATGTGGCTTCCATCGCTTTATTTGCCCACCTAGCCTCGCTTTGAAATTGGGTCATAGGGTCATGCATATTAATTAGGGAATATTAAGAAGACCCTATCACTGGGAATGAATAGACCAAAACTGTGCCTGGAGAGATAGAATACAGAGATTACTGGGGAATCAATACCTTATATCAACCAAGCAACCCATTTATATGTAAATGTATAGCATGTTCATCATATATACATTGAGTGAAAGATCAAATTATAATTACAGCCCAATAGCCAGAGGTCAAAATATAACAAGGCTAATAACTCTGGATCAAAACGATCCCTCCCCTCCCCCCCCTGGATCATCATCTTCAACGGTGAACATATAAATCTGAGAAAATTAAAAACAATTTCTATAGTCATCTTGGTTTTGTTGCTATTAGTATTTAGAATCTGGCTAACACAAAGACGCTTACGTAAATGGTCTAACCTTAAAACAGACCAGAGAAATGGATCTCATAAAGATCATCACTGTGTCTTGGAAGAACGTGATTATTACTTCAGGCCGTCTGGTGCTGGCCCATATTGAGGTTAATTAAAGCAGGTTTCAGCACACCTTACTACATTATTGAACCACAGACTGACAAATGCTTCAAAATTCATGAGAACCCATCTACAGCATGAATTATAACCTCAAATCTGTGAGGCAGAAGTGATTTTCAGCACCTGGTTACACTGTAAAGATATCTAATTTCTACCTTAGGCAATTCTGTGAAACGTACTCACAACAGAAAGGTTGTTAATTTATTTATATATAGTGATATCTGGTGATTCTTTTGACCTGAAACTTCTAACAGCATATATGTCTGTATTTACTTTTGAGTTTACTGTTTACCAGATATTTACATTAAATATCTATGATTAATTAAATGCAGGATTAATTAAATGCAGAATTAATACATGCAGACTTATACGCAAAATCATACAAAATTCTGACAATTATACATTACATGAAACAAGAAAACTTCAACTCTCATAGCAACTATCAAAAACCCAATTTGGAAAGTAAAGAATAAAAATAAAAAAAATTTAAAAAAATTAAAAAAATTGCCATCACACAAGTGTCTGTACAACTGTGTTCCTTCTTAACACAGGGCACATGTAACCAAAGAAGCACACGAGCCCTGAGGGCAAATAGAGGTCCCGTCATGTTATAAATATTATGTATTATTACTTGATGCTGCTATGGTAACATACTCGACATATTGCTCAACTGACAACAAAGACAGGGTTAGGCTAAACAAGGCCTGCTCCAACAGTAAGCAGTTCCCAGCCAAGAATTCTTTCAGTTAAAGAAAATGCAAAGTTTGTAATACTTTATATCAAAGCACATCTTTTCTTTCCCTTTTTTGTGTAAGGGAAGGGATGTGAGAAGGCTTAGCCTTTCAACTGCAAGGATGACAGCACATACTTGTTCTTTGCCATGTGATATTTTCTTTCCAAAACATAATATTTTCAATCTTTCTTTTTGTGTCTGTCTCTCTGTGTGTGTGTGTGTGTGTGTATGTGTGTGCGCGCGCGTGTGTGTGGAGGGACGTGGTGGGCTCATTCTGCCAAATATACAACTAACTATAATATACAAGTTATCTTGCCATTTTCTAAAAGATGAAATGCAGAAAGCTGCCAACACTTGAAACACCCGTTTCCTAGTAACAGACAGTGGCAAATGTTAGAGATGAACCAAAACTTTCTTGGCTTTCTTGGATGAGCCTGACATCAGGCTAGAGGAGACTACTATTTCAAGGTGTTACACTTTCTCTTCACACTTCACTCTGCAGGTGCTCTGCTCTTTTTTTTGACAGATATGATCTTGTTATCACACTTCTGCTGATCTAGGGATGTCAGTAGGCCTCCAAAATATGATCTTCAGGTGGATAATGTGACTGTTCACACTAAGTCAACTAAAACCCAAGTTGAGGCAAGCGCAGGCACTTTTTTTATTATGTTTAATATTATTATTAATATTATTAAATGAAAAGATTAATTACTCATGCAAAAGATGAATCCATTTGTACAAAAGGTTTTCAGGAGCCTAATGCACACCCAAACAGTGAAAGCCCTAGTTAACTTATCCTAACTGCATGCTGACATTTTGGACTAATTTTCACACAGACACTGTCTGAACATCTTCTTAGCTGAAGGGTGAGGAAACATTCCATCATCACCCATATGAGGTTTAAGAGCCACGAAAAAGGCTACCTATATTTTGAGGTCAACATGAAAACTTGCTGAAATAGCAAGTTTTCACAAAATCAAATATGTTCCATCTTTACTTATGTTTATCCTATATATTGTATCTTTCATAAAGTGTATCAGATCCAACTTGTTCATAACAGGCTCGCAGTGTAGCTGCATTGAGATGAAATACAAGAAACGATTTCTTCAAAAGAACTAAGAATGACAGTAACAGGTGAGAAAAACATTTTAGCTATTATACCACAACTCACTATATGTAACCTATATACTAGTAGAGAAAACACATGGTTAGACACACGTGCTGTCCATGCTGATTAATTAAAGAGCAAAGAGACCAGCACCAGACTCTTTAATGGGAGCATAATTAAGTCACATTCCCACAGCATTTGGGTCAAAATTTTTAACAAGATCATATAATGGCCTTTCCACACTAATTAATTTAAATGGTTTTCTCTTCAGGGTCCATTAATGTGCAAATTGAATCTAACCACTTACACTTTCATATTTTCCAAACACAACCAAAGACAAGCACTCCTTAAACTGACACTTTTTCTTTTTTAACTTGCACCTGTTCAATAGACAAGAATCCTTTACTTTAACCAAAACACTTTCATCCAAACCACTGGAATGAATAGGGTTTTTTGGAAATAAAGCCACATAAAAGAAAAAGACATTAAACACAAGTCTGGTTTAAGGTTATGTGCCAGTGTTTTTGTGCTATTTGTTTCTACTTTCAGACCTTTGAAAATGTTAATCATGTCTCGGTGACAGCCAACAATCACACTTATAGGTGACACAGTACAGATAGTGTCACTTGGTGCAGAATAGACAGATTTTTCTACATTAAAATATTTTTTGGTAATAACCGACATTTAAACTCAGGCCATGCATCACTAAGTTAAAACGAATGAAGTGAAGAAGTTCAAATGCCTGGAGAAGAAAGGTCTCAACTAATTGACATCAAATTTAGTTTTAAGCATGAGCCTATTGCATATTCTTTTTCTTTATTGGGCATCACATTGATATTTAACTTTTTTTATGATGTGCTGCATCAGCATTAAAAAAAGGCTTAATGTTTATATGCCACAGTGGTCTTCAATTATAGTAACCTTGTTTTTTCTCCTCACTGCCTTGGTGGTAATCAGACCATGACCAAAAATAACTACCACATCCTCATGGCTTTCCTGTTTTTGTGCACTCTTAATTCTTTTGCAAACATTCGCAATCTTGCACTTTGATTTTGTTGAAAAAAAAAAATTAACATTTTTACCATCGATTTGTCTCATTTATCTTCTATCTGCTAATTCAATTTTTTTTATTTGAATGTAAACTGTTGTTGCAATGAAATTTGACAAAATGGAGAAAATTCAAATTTTCCCCACTTGCCAAATTGGTTACATTAAAATTTGAAAATTTTGTTAAAAATAACTTTTGACCTTGATGAAGTACAGAGAGAGTCACAGTCAAGGGCACTCCTCATCAGTTCTACCTGTCTTTAAGCATCTGCACGCTTACTTCACATATATCAGGAATTCAAAACGCCTTTTTACATAAAATGGTGTAACCTTGAGCCTGCGTGAATGAAAAGACACCTATTCATTTTGCTATTTTTGTATGTTAACAAGCCTAGGTTGTACTTACCCAGGCAATTGATGGGTGTTAAATGCTCAGCCAAGTAGCAAGAGCAGGCATCAGCTGCACGCTGCATCTTCAACATGGTAGCTGTCTTGTACACAGACTTCACCAAGTCCCCGGCAACTTCCAACCTGAAAAATTTGTGATTTTATAAAATAAATGAGCAAAGTTTAAATTTGATCTAATCTTTCTGAAAATGGCCAAACACATTTATTTATTTTTTTTACTTCTAGCACTTCTAACAATTGGTTGAAAGACTTTTTAGGGGCACATATTTAAAATCTTTTTTTGGCAAAAATACAAAATTACTCCAGAATAAGTAAGAAGATAGGAAATCAATCCAAAACAAACCATTCTTTTGTAATAGTCAAACTGGTAATAGTCCACAGTGAATGAAGGATTTTTTCTCTCCCTCACCTTGCTGTATAAGCATATGTGACCAGATACTCAAACACTTCGTAATCAAGGCCCTGTAACTTGCAATGCGTCAAATGATTTCCCTCCTCCTGTTGAAAAAGATCAAACAGGTACTGGCTCGCACATGCGAGCACGGCGCGATGGGCAGGTATCTCATGGCCTTCAACCTCGAGAATCACGTCACAGAACTGAGCATTTTTCCGCAGAATGTTGAGATCGTTGAGAATGGTCTGCTTCTGTTGGATGTCGTCAAAGATCATCACATCTTGCTCCATAATTTCCCCGTCTTCTTCCATGGTGGCGGAAAATTGGGCACTGAAATGTAGAACAGAGGTAGCGTTCAGCGAAATAAACCTTCACTCTGCTGTCAACTCTTTATAAAACTGCTTGGTATGGGGTTCACAGTAATTGATATCCAGTGGTCTCACAGCATTATCATATTACAGGTGTGCGAATACCTGGATTTGGCTCTCAATATCAGTTTTTACTTTTAATGATGTCCAATTTGCAGAATAATAGGGCATTACACAACCAGTGACGTCCTCTCCAAAATAATTGATCCCTGAGATCACTGTAAGGTTCCATTTATAGCAATAAAATTTATTTCTTTTCATTCATTTACTTAATGTCAGCCTATCAGTTGCACGAAACCAGTATCAGTTTTTCAGATTTAATGATGTCAAATTTGCAGAAATGTTGTACTTCAGGAAATAATTGCTGGCTGAGATCACTACTAGATGCCATGTTTAGGAACAAGAAATTTTCTTTTTATTCACTTCATAGCTTTTACCCTATCAATTGCTTTCAGGTACACAAAACATACCTTAGATCTATGACATTTCTTTCATTTGAATAATGCAAATACAGACAGTAAAATCTACTGGTTCTTACACATGACACAGTCAAACCAAACCAGTGCTGCCGAAAAAATAGCAGCATTTAAATATACAGCACCTAATACTTCCTCATGAAAGATGCAAAGCTGCCTTTTAAAACAAACTATCTATTCTTCACTTCATTCCCTAATCATTTCCCAAAGGACAGAGCTTTCACAGAGGGGAAAAAATGTGCGTCACAATATTGTATTATTCATAATTGCTGACTTGTATTTGATCCTTTTCCTTATTCATGTCAGTGAAAAGAAAAATCCACGGGATAAAAACCCTTTTTTGTTTTTCTTGATTTGATAGGGGGATTTAAAGATTTCTCCATTTTTTTATATCAGTGATAAGAAGATTAAAGGGAACGAAAATCAGTTTTATTCATTTTTTGTTTTGATACGAGTCTTTAAAGATTTCTTTTTTCCTAATCTATCCCAGTGATGAGAAGATTTTAGGGAATAAAAACTCAGTTTTATTCATTTTTTGAATTGATCCAGGGCTTTACAGATTGCCTCTTTTCCAAATCTACATTTATATCTGTGATAAGAAATATGTGCATGGAATAAAGTTTTTTTTCCATTTCCTGATCTGATGCGGGGCTTTTCAGATTTTCTCTTTTCTTAATGTGTGTTAGAAATGAAGGGATTTAAAGGAATAAAAACTCAGTTTAGTTCATTTCCTGGTGTCACACTGGGCTTAACAAATTTCTAAGAAACCTGGACTATATCCTTTGGTTAAACAATTCAAAATCACATCTCAGCTTAGGAACTGTCCAAGAAAAGTCTGTTATGAGAAAGTTTGCCAATATTGTGAGGCTACACTTGAAGATACTGGACTGGATGCTTTTTTTTATTTTTTATTTTTTTTGTATCAAAATGAACCAAGATTTGCTGAAAACATTCAAACTACATTTATACTATACTGATTCCGAGAATATTAATCCAGGAATGCATTTAGAGACAGTGCTTTATGAGAATTAACAAATCTTCACGAGGTGAAACAAACACTGATCACTATTAGAAAGGGCAATCAAAACCTGTTGTGAAGTTTGACGCCAATAATTTGACCTCTTAAATCCCATATACCTGTAAAACCTGTTATGACATGAACATCTTCAAGACATAAGCTGACAGAATTGCAGAATAAGATAACTGCCATTCAAAAAGAAAATATTGCCAACTACTTGAAACGAAATGTTTTCAATCCTATCCATCCACTCAGGAATACACATTTGTACACTGGTTATCAGAACACAATTCAAAGCATTTGGCACAAAGTTAATAATGGCTACCATCAGCAAGGGAAAGATGAATAAATCATGGCCTTGATTGCAACATCCTTTGCTCTCTATATCTGTTCTCCTGTGTTTTTCTTAACAAAACTTGAAATCAACCGAGTTCTCATGACTGAGATATTAAAAAATATAAAAAACAGAAAATGGATACTGTCATGTATTTGAATTATATTGATGATATAAATTCCTAGCCTGTATTAATCTAACTCTATGGGTACTCCAGTACTGAACCAACCAGCATAGTGGTAAATATTCATACTAGTAACTTAGTTTGTGCTGGACTGATCCTATATAATTCAATTTTTTGTGCATAGAAGAGGTAACTTCATTTGGCTATAAACGTCAGGGAATAAAATCACCTCTGCAATATTTATTCATAACCTTGGCTATAAATATTCACATGGCAGTAAAACATTTTGCCACTCTGGCCTCAGTGAATGATATCAACCATGAACTGGCTTTATTTTTCTGATCAACAATTACTGGGCTCTTCAATGACCTCAAAATTCACCATGTTTTTGTTTGTCTTATGAGACGAAAAGCTGATCAATAACTTTGTGGTTACATGATTCACGGGTCACTCCAGGTCTTCTGTCATTGGAGATAGAAGGTTGTTGACCCAGTATTATAGTAAAATATTGGTGAATGTTTTGATAATTCAAAAGTCATGTCCAAAGCCAGACAATCCAAGGTGATGAAAGCTCCTCTGATATCCTTGAATGACCAGGTTGTAGGGTTGCCCCTTGATGTCTTCTGGACCAAACCTGATCCTTTTTAGGTAGAGGGGGAACATGTTATTTTTCATCATATTTCATCACTGTAACGTGATAATTAAATATCAAAGAAGATGGAAACAAATAGTTAAAAGTCAACACACACTTTCCTGTTTACCGATTGATACTAATTCCGGTCAATGAATAATAACAATTTACCAACCATGTGAAAGCAAAAACAAAACTGAAATCAATATCTGGTGACACTGGCCAAAAAACTTCCATATTCCTTAAACCCCAGGCCTCTGGATCAAAATCATACCTGTATTGGCTTTTTCTTTTTTTCGATTTCACTTATAATGCACCATTTCTTCCAGCAATCCGATGTTGAAAAAGTCAGGTTAAAATAAATTCTGACCACAACTTTGCAACAATGACACCAATATAATGCCTAAGTTCAATTATAAATTATAAACAGTAACAAGCAATGAATGATGTCTGTATGATTCAATTCTGATCTTATCATACAATGTTGACCCAAAATGGGACTTTGAACCAGAACTGATTACACTTTTGTTGATCAATTGCAACAACAAACAAGGACAGCTACATATAGCTGGAAATTTCTGTAACAATTTTCTCAATATTTTTTCAGGCCCGTACTCTGAATAAAAATTCTGGTCACACAAACACTCTTCACAAAATTCCTCCAAAGTGGGTCATCTTTAATTCATTTTTCAGTGAATTAACCTTACAAATTTTATCAAAACAGATCTTAAATCCCTGTTGTATGTTTTCCGTATAAAAAAAGAAATTACTGACAGAGTTGGCAGCAATATCAATCGTTCTTAACTAAATAAATGATAATTCAATGGAAAGAAGCCAAATATCTCTTACAGTTCATATGAAAATATATTCTATATTTTATTAGCCACTGGTAAATACTTCCCATAGAAACGTGAGCCCTGCACGTTTTCCAAGATCATGTTTCAGTAAGGTAAGCATTAAAATGTTTTCAGCAAGGTCATGAATACTAGAGTCAACATGTACATTCTACAACTGATTAAACACTTCCAAACTGGAAAGAAACACAAATGCCCATCAAACATATTTATTGCAATATGCAATATCCACTTGAGGTAGTTAATGTTAATAATTAACTGGTCTAAATATAAAACACATTATAGCACCTATGATTTCCTGGACCTAGAGTGGCTGCTCAGAGTGCACCAGCACAAGTTTGTCTTTAGCAGCACCATATAGGGGAGGATAAAAGGGTTATCTGTACGTGTTCATTGGCCCTCATGTTTTAGTAACCTACACTTGTCTGTACTGTGGGATTAACTATTGATATTTTACTTAGTCATAATTTTTTATGTGTATAGGATTATAAACCACAGAGACCATATTTGAATTTTACAACTGTCAGATTATATGTTGAAATATTATATATTTCAGTTAGCAACAAGTTGCAATTTTATTCATTTTATTGAAATTTGTAATTATAAATTTGGGTAATGCTGCAACTTAAACTTATTTCAATTTTAGATTTATCAGCCAACCAAGTAGTTAAAACATTTCATGTTTCTTGGTCCTTTAAAACACATTATTATCAAGGCCACCGCACCTTTGCATGGATAATTATCTTTTGCAGGCATACTTCAACCCCCAGCTTTTTATTTTCTCATGAATTAACGTCATCCTATTTGCAGAAGGATTTGCTGAATAGGGGTTGTTGCCAAGCTGAAATTTTTGTTTGCTGACAGGGGACACAAACACATTTTCTCTTTGCCGATCTTGAAGTCTGCAAACAAAATCAAGGCCACAATTACAGAGAGCGAAACCATGGTTACTGAGACAGAGAAGATGCATCCAGCTCCAACAGGTCCAAAGACTGCAGTATTCCAAATCAGAACAAAATCTGCAGGATATAAATGCGAGTATAATGTATTGATTGATTGATACCCTTGACGTCAACTGAAAGTAGTTACCTCGGCGAAATGACCAATCAATAGCTTAGTTTCCCAGCCCTGTAAGTGTGACTTTAACCCCCTTACTGCAGAGCTACAGGTTGCCCCTACCATTAGGAATGTGAATGCAGCAGACAAATATCCTCACTAAAAATGCCTTCCATCACAACAGACTTATATACGGGTAATTTTGTGGTTCTTAAAAGATTTTACTCCACTCATCCATTTATGCAATGAATCATGTTTTAAATCTTGAACAGTGTCATTTTGTTCTTGACTGGCTGTCAACATTGAGAAACAAGACAAGATTTGGACTTTTTTATTAAGGAAATATTTGCAAAGAATGATATCACCCATGCATGTTTGGGGGGGGGGGGGGGGGGGGGGAGAGGGAGAAAAAAAAATTTTTTTTTCCTTTTGAGACCATGGGAAAGGAAAAAAAGCAACACCCCCAAAA